ACACACACATCCATACACACACACATCCATACACACACACATCCATATACACACACATCCATACACACACACATCCATACACACACACATCCATACACACACACATCCATACACACACACATCCATACACACACAGATCATCGCAGCTGGTGCGGGTGCCGCGAAAGGAGTTCCATCACTGACGACTCACACACATCTATACACACACAGATCATCGCAGCTGGTGCGGGTGTGGCGAAAGGAGTTCCGCCACTGTCCATTCGCACACATGTGTACACACACATCATCGTAGATGGTGCGGGTGTGGCGAAAGGAGTTCCATCACTGCCGACTCACCCACATCTATACAGACGCACTTCTCTGTCGGATTTGTAACTTCGATACGACATTTACATATACGCACGAGAAGAAAGTGTTTTTGATGCGTAGCTAACAAGGGTGTCTCCTATCAGTTTAAGTGGAATTTGCTCTGGAATATAGCAGCACTCCTACATGTATTGCGTGAAATGTCACCTGTGTATCGTTTATCAAAAGCTTTATTGCAGTTTTGGGAAATTGAAATCGATTTCCTGGAAATCGAAAAGTGCCCATTATGTCCATTATGCCCATTATTCCCATTACGCTCATTATGCCCATTATTCCCATTATGCCCATTACGCCCATTACGCCCCGCCCCCTGTAAAGTCGAAAGAAAGAACTTTCCTGGAAACTAATAGAACGCATCAAATGGAGAAATGTGAGAAAAAGTTACGGGCTTGTGACATACCAATTCGTTAGTTTAAAAAAATCTCAAAACTTTTAGAACGTTTCATAAGTAGATTTGTAGGTCTTGAATATTTTTAAGAATAAAATATATGCTAATAATAAAAAGGATTAGTCCAATAAAACTGATGAAAAATTCAAACACATAACCAAACAGTCTCAATAAAGGGATCATAATTAGTTGATCGATTTTGGTGGTTCATTGGGGAACAGGTGTACGAGGTGAAAACACAAATCGTTCACTTGTTTGCGAACATAAGTGCAAAACGTATATTTTATTCTTGAAGTATATTCAACATGTAATTAATATGGTAGCTTTGCCTAATTATTATTATGTATTTTTTCCGAATAAGTTATGTTGGATATATTCGCTATTACTTGTATTGCTCTTCAATTTTTTTCTTGATATATTTGAATAATTTTCATTTCGGAAAAAATGAATATTTTTTAGTAAAAATTGTATTATTTGATCATGTATTGCGCAATAGAATATTGATTTTAATAAATTATTTATTGATAAGTCAATTAAAAATAACTTCGACAGGTTTATACGACGAAGCTGTAACGTCGTCAATATCGATCGACGAAGTTATAACTTGTTTGACCGGTATCTCTTCGATACGACATATATACGACATGCTCTGTGCAAAAAACATGATTTACCAAAATTCTTTGCTTAATATTATTCAAAATACCACTCAGGAGACAATTAATTGCTTACGAGTTCTTTATGCCACCGCAAAAAGAATAGAATAATTGAACTTCCACTATTCAATAATTAAATAATTGAATAGTTGAGGTAGATTTTCAATAATTAAATTCAACTTTCAAGTTTGACACTACTGTTACCTCCTATATCTCCTATACCTCCTATATCTCCTATATCTCCTATA